GGGAACCCTAGCATCCAGGTGGCACCCACCTGCGGGCCCAGGCAGGGATCTGGGGCTTGTCCATCAGCATCATCTCATAGCAGAGGCGCAGCTGCTGCTCCACGGCGTGGAAGGCACCGACACTGAGAGCCTCCGACACCAGCTCAGCCCGAAATCCGCGCGCCCGCGAGAAGCCCAGGAAGAAGCTCAGGGCCCAGAGGTAGAAGGTCTCATCGTGCTCCTCCGCCCGTGCCCGTCCCAGCTGCTCCTGTGGGTGGGGGGGCGGCCAGGGGGTAGCACAGCAGGTGCTGAGGGACAGGGATGGTCCCCCCAGGTCCTGCCCACAGACCCCACTCCAGCTCCTGCCAGCTCCCCTTTGCCCGTCCCTGTACCCTGAGCCCTGCTGGTGCCCCTCACTCCTAACCCGCAGCCCCCTGCTGCTCCTGCCCACCCAGTGCCCCTTATTCCCAACCCACAGCCCCGCACCTTGACAAGGGCCATGAGGCGGTTGAAGCCGGAGCGCAGAAAATCCTCGCAGAAGCCGCGCAGGAAGAGCCGCACGTTCCGGGCTGAACGACGCCGTGGGGTCGGATCGGGAGGGGGCTGCCGGTGCCGTGGCACCCGGGCCCCTGGCTTGCCCAGGTCCGAGCTGTAGTGACGCACCTGGCGTGGGGTGAGACCACGCGTCAGCTCCCATCTCCCTCCAGGGATCTCCCCTCTTAGCCTCAGTGCCCCTTACTCCTGAGCCACAGCCCTCAGCCCTCTCCTGGGATCACTCACGTTGTGCAGCCCCTTGTGAAACACGACGTCCCTGTCTCCGATCGACTTCAGGCCCTGGATGATGTAGGAACCACCAAAGCGCGAGTGCCTGGCGGGGCAGAGATGAACGTCATTCAGGGGTGGGTGACAAGCCACAGGGCTAGCACCAGCCCCTGCCCCCCAGTGCCCCTCATTCCCAACCTGCACCCCTTACCCCTCAGCCTAACCCACAACCCCCTTCCCCCCCGGTGGCCCTCACTCCCCATCTGCAGCCCTGCCTCACCTAGTGCCGCGCTGCCGCAGGCGGCTCCTGCGCTCGGCCATCTCCCGCTGCCTCAGGGCCTCCAGCTCCCGGGCATCCTCATCCTGCTGTGCCACTGTGTGGGGCTGGCCCGTGGCTGCCAGCTGCTCCGGTGTCTGGCAGGGGTAGGGCACAAGGTGGTCACAACCCCCCGGGACCGCAGCAGCTGCCTTCCCCCTACCTGTGCAGTGCCATATCCCAGCATGCCGTGCTCCCCAGGGGTGGGGGATATGCAGGGCAGCGGATCCCCCCACATGGCTGCAAGAGGGTGCATGCCCCAGGCATGGTGCCGCCGACCCAGAGCCCTCTGCCAGCCCCAGCCCTGCTGGTGCCCCTCACTCCCGACCTGCAGCCGCCCACCCCACTGATGCCCCCCAGCTGACCTGGTCACGCAGCATGAGGGCGATGACCTCAAGGACGTGCAAGGCCCACTGGGCCTCGCTGGTGGCACTGGCCAGGAACTGGAGCAGGTCATCCATGCCGCTGAGGTGCAACGCCCAGAGCACCCGGTCATGGGCGCTGGCATCATCGTCCACGCTCTGCCAGGGCAGGGGGGACACAGATCTGAGTCAGGCTCCAAAATGGAGCCAGACCCCCCCACAAGAGCAGAGACCACCCCTCAGGCCCCTCCCCAGTTACTCCCCCTCCCCACACACACACACACCTTCTCCTCCGTGGGCTCGGCAGGGGCCGGGCACCACCAGCAGGATGCGTTCGATGAGCAGCGCGTCCTCCTCCTGCCGCTGCTCCCAGTCCTGGGGGTGCCGGGGGGCTCAGCCATGGAGGTTGGGGCCAGAGACCGCCCCCCCCCCACTTTGCCCCGGCTCCCCCATGGGAGCAAAGGGCATCATCCATGCAGGCCCCTCTGGATCCACCCCCCGGCTCAGGTTATGGGGAGGTCATGGGGGGGTGGGCAGGACTCACCAGCTGCAGCAGGTCGTAGAGCTTCTCGCTGAGGACCCCGAAAACCTTCACATTGGCAAATGCCTGCAGTGGGGGAGGAAGCCTGGTCATGAGGGGGAGCCCAGAGAGCCCCCCCACCCCGTGGGACTCACCTCCTTGTAGGCCTGCAGGTGCGACGTGACCTGGAGGAAGTGGTGCCGCTCGCCAGGGTCCTTGGGCACCTTCCCGAAGCACAGCAGGGCTGGCTGGGTCAGGTTCACCAGCAGCCTGGGGGGGCAGAGGTCACAGAGGCAGAGGTCATGGGGTGGGGCGGGGGCAGGGGATTGCCAGGGCCCGAATCTCCGCTCCCAGCAGAGATGGGACCCAGGCATCTGGGCCCCATAACCCGAGCAGAGAGGAGGCGGCACGGCCGGGGTCTCAGCCTGGGCTGCAGGGTTGGACTCCACCAGGCTACGGGGTGGGGGGGGTTGCGGGACAATCCCAGCCCCGGTGGGTGCTGGGGGGGAGGGGGGGGCACCTGACGATGGCGTCGAAGAGCGGGGCATCCGTGGCACGCAGCACCAGGAGGGGCAGCAAGTCGTTCTGCAGGATCTGGGCGGCCCCCAGCTGCTGCCGCACGTCGCGCGTCTCATCCTCATGGCGCAGAAACCGGATCAGGTCCTTCACGCTCTCTGTGGGGTGAGGCGGGGGGAAGGAAGAGCATGAGACTTGCCCTCCCGCCATGCGACCCAGCAGGGCACGGAGGGAACCAGGCACCTGGGCACCAGCACCTGCTTGGAGCCCTGTGGAGGGATGGGGCAGCCCCCCCAGCATCAGGCCCAACTCGGGGCCTTACCGAGGCAGTCGGGCTCCTTGTGGTAGGCGTCGCCCTCCAGGCAGCCGAGGGCACTGCACGTGGCCAGAAGCTCGCAGTTCATCTTGCCCTGGGGGGGGCGGAGACATTGAGACCCCCTGTCCAGCTCCCCACCCTGGCCCAGCGCCGTGATCCCTTCTCCCAAACCGGGGAGACAACCCAGGTGTCCGGGCTTCGCATCCACCTCCCAAGACCCGTCGGAGCCCCCTCCCCTCTCCCAGCAGAGATGGGACCCGGGTATCCGGGGAGCCCCAGGAGAAGCCCCGAGAACCCCCTTTTCCCTGGTCACTATGGAAACAGGAGGAAGCAGGGAGGGTTGCTAAGCAACACGGACCCTGCTTCCTCCTGGGCCAATGGGGCGGGTTGCTGATGCCATACATCCAGGGACCCAGGCTCCTGGCCCCCACACTGGACCACCCGCCCCACCATGCAGGGACCCAGGTGTCCGGCTCTGGGCTCCCCCAGAAGGACCCGGGCATTTGGGCTCTGGGCCCCGCAGAGGGACCCGGGTGTCCGGGCCCCTTTCCGCCCCTGCTCCGTTCCCACAGCTGGGGGGGAGGGAGCCCAGGCGTCTGGGCAGAGCCAAGCAACTGCCCCCCCCCACCTGCAAAGCCTGGGGGAGCAGGGGGCACCGCCAGCCCCGCACTGGGGGCGGTAATGCACCCCCTAAGCTAACTGGGGCCTGGATACCTGGGGTCAAAGGTCAGCTGGAGCCGGCAGAGCCGGGCACCCAGGAGTCCTGCCTGGGGGGGTGTTAGGGTTAGGGGGGGCAGAGGGGCCGGGATCAGCCCCCTCCTAGCCCCGTGCCCGGGGGCCGCCTCCAGGGGGCTTGGGGAGACCCCGGCCCCGAAACCCCCTCACTGCAGGGCCCCGATCCGGCCCCCAAAGCCCTCCCCTCATTGCAAGGCCCCATCCCGGCCCCGCACGCACCGGCCCAGGGGCGCCCCGCGGACCCCACCGCCCCCAGCAGCGCAGCTCCCCAGCCAGCCAGCCAGCCCTGCTGGGGAAACCGAGACACGGGCGGGCACCGATCGAGAGAGAGCCGAGGAGTCCTGCCTCACCCCGCCACTTGCAGCGCGGGTCGGGGAAGGCTTGGGATACACCCCCGGCACTTGGGTACACGGCACCTTTAAGAGCCGCCCGAGCGGAGCGAACCAACTATGGCAGCAGCGGAGGGGGTGGGGGAACACCCCCCCCCCGGG